AGATAGTAGATACAATGAAATAAAATCCACAGTATGGGACAGAATCGTGTCCAAAATCCACAGCAAGACTTCATCCAAAAGATCATCGGAAGTCTTAGGCTTAGATTAAAACAAAAAGGGTAGATACGGCACTAGCCTCACAAAAGTGATCCGCATAAATTGTGGCCCAAGGCCACAATAGCTTTAGTCACAACTTGACATGCAAATGACGTACATGTGAACGTCAAAAAGAAATATTGCTAAAATTTTGTGATTTTATGATAAAACAATGCCTAAGTGTGTTTTTAAAAAGTGCTCAAATTGCTCAAGAACTAAAAATAAAACCGACGGCATCACTTTTCTTTCGTAAGTACTATAAAATATATTTTTTCATAAAAAATGCTGTTTGTTTTGAATCTTATTCGTTATTTTGTTATTAAGAAAAAGACAACAACACTTGTAAACGTTTGTATGAGGGAGAAAAAGCATAAGCGCGAATATTTGCCATTGTAATGTCAGTCGAGAGTAAAAATTGGGTAGAGTCAACAAAAAAAATATTTCGTAATTTTTTTTTGGAATATTAATTTATGTAGGTATAAAATATGCTGCATTTATTAAACTCATTACATTTTGGTTTCTTCGAAGAGGTTTATTAATTTTTTCAGACATTTTAGCTTTAATATACTCTGTACTTACAGAAATGGCGTTTCCATTCTTTGTAGGGTTTAAAATTGTTTTTGTAATCTTCTTCTTCTTCTTCCAGTGCCTCTTCAATCCTAAAGGTTGGCCGTTAGCTTCCTGTATGTAGTTCTATCAGCAGCCAGCCGGAACAACTGTTCGACGGAGGCAATACCGGTCCACTCCCGGATATTCCGGAGCCATGACTTTTTTCTTCGCCCAGCACGTCTCTTTCCGTCCACTTTGCCCATCATTATCAACTGCAGCAGCATGTATCAATCGTTCCTGAGCACGTGGCCAAGATATTCTATACTGCGCTTTTTGATAGAAGGCAACATTTTCCGGGATATATGAACGCGCTGAAACACGGTTTCGTTCCTGACCCTCTGCGTCCAACTAATGCGTAACATGCGACGGTAACACCACATCTCGAATGCCTGTAGGCGTCTTGTAGTGTCTTCTTTCAGGGTCCACGTTTCGCAACCATACATGGCAATAGGCCAGATATAGCACATGAGTAGCCTGACTCGGAGCTTTATATTCAGTTGACGATAGCAAAGAACTTTCCTCATTTTATTAAAAGAGGCTCGAGCGATTTCTATCCGGGTCTTGATTTCTTGATCAGATTCCCATGCTTCATTTTGTAATAAAACAGCATAAATAATATAAAATAAGGGCGTCTAAAATAGCAAGATCATATGTTTTTATAATATGTATTTATTAAGTCGCCATTGTCCTTTGTTAACAAATGGAGGGCTTTCCACTTTGAATAATACGCCGTTTGCGACCGTGTGCTGTTTCTTAACTGCTACTTCATTGTTAAATAAGATTTCTAGTGTTTAATTTAAACTAGAATAATCACTAGGATATAATAATAATAGTATATAATTGAAACAATTAACAATGAAATAGCACCGGGTCTTGGCATGAAGGTAAATAAGATTATCTATCTTCATGCCATGTCCCGGGTGGGGTAGGCAGAGAAATTAGAACAGGCCGCCATAAGGCACTGAGTTTCTAGTGTTATCTTAGTATAAATATCGTTTTATCAAAAATCAACAATTTTTATGTATTTTAGAAATGATAATATGAAACGACTGTACATGACAATTATGTACGTGTTTTATGAGCGCACAGAGTGACCTGAGGGTTAGTTTTAACCGGCTGCACTTGCTTGTTGTTCGCAGATGTCCATCCCTCAATTAATACTTTTTTATTTGATATGAGGTAGTCTCTATGAAAGTAACGACGAATGGCTACTAGATTTTATAGGAACAGCCGATATCTTTTACGAAGTAACAATTTGAATTACTTTTAGCTTTTAATTGTAACAATACTTATGTATGGAAAACTACTTACGTGGGCGGTAACATCAATGGCGGAATAGCCGAACAGCACGTTAGTATAGTTCCAACCAAATATATTTCCGAGAAATATAGTATGACTCTGCAATGAAGAAGTACGCAATAATTTTTTTATTTATAACTACTTATTTAAAATTGTACTAGCGGCCGCCCGTGACTTCGTCGGCGTTAACTTTAGTATTTTGAGAATCCCTGAGAAACCTTACATTTTTCCAGGATATAAATATACTATGTCTCGTTCCAGGTCATAAACAATATTGCGTAAAAATACATCCAAATCCGTGATTAAGGCACAAACATACAAACCTTCACAACAAGTAGAATCTCAGATATAAATGCTCAGTTTCGAATTAGATTCGACTAACCCGAAACTCATTATTCATACCTGTGTTGGTCCCCCTACCAGCAACACAGGTTAGTTTAGGGAAACCAAAAATGGCATACTATAATTCGTATCAAGTTTTAATATAAGATTTTTCATATAAACTTTTATCCCGTTTTTTATCATCTTAGGGGTAGGATTTCGAAAAATCCTGATAAATGTTATTCTTTATTTCTAATCTTTTAAAAATACCTAGTTTCGATTTGATCGAAGAGCGAGTTAAAATTCATCCATATGAAAACTTCCGACAACCTCGTCGTCGTTCCCTTTTAGGGGAAAGTTTAGGAAAACTAAACAAAAAAATAAAAAAAAACCAACAAACTTTTTTTTTTCTCTTTCTTTTTATTCATTCAAATAAGTATTCGTGCCAAGTTCCAGGTTTATTAACTCTTTTGTTTAAAAACTGCGATTTTTCATCCCTCATTTTTTTACCTTTTGGGGGTAAAAGTTTGGAAAAATCCTTTCTTAAAGCACCCGTAGACCTCTTAAGGACCCTACGAGCCAAATTTGGAGTCTGTAGAGACAGAGCAGTCAGTTTCTTCTTTTATGCGTATAGGTATTTAGATAGGTACCTACATACCCAATTGTTCCACAATCGATAGGTAATCAAATTCCTTTTTGCTATACTTATATTGCTAAAGTGTGTCTATCTGGTACCTCTTCACACTTAATCCGAAGACTATTTTCTATGAAATTTGGTATGGCGATGGTTTGGGACCCGTGACAAAGGACATAGAATAGATTTTTTCCCCGAAATCATCCTTTAAGTGGGTGAAAAGGGGGTTTGGAAGTTTGTATGCGAAAACAATTATTGAGTATGGCCGCCCAAAAATTGTCCATTTGAAAAAAATAAACTGTCCTCGTAATATAGAGTACTAGATCTCAAAAACGCTATTTTATTTAAATGATAGTTGTAGTGGATTCTGGTAGGCAAAATAATGTTTATTCATAAAAATAATTTACATTCTTGATAGTTGCAATTAACGCACGCATAATTTAATTCTTTTGAAATAGTTAATTTTCGTATCCATACTAAAGTCGTGTGTCCAGCTAAGACCTTTCATGCTTTGAGGTCATAAAAATGCACAAAATTGTTTCGGAACCTGGATTATTTTGCCATTTCTAAATTATTGTGGCGATTTGCTACAGTATAATTTAAATTATTTAGATATAATAGGACAAAAAATAAATAAAAAGCTCATAAAATATTGTGTCTCACTTTTTATTCCCGAATGATACCTCACTTAAGTTACCATTATAACAACATGAAACTATCCGAATTCCCGGGTAGCAAATATATTTTTAGTCATGGCAACACCACCTTCAAGTTGTGCAACTTCAGGAAATAAATCGCCATATTGTTTTCTGTGACAGTGCTCTTCAAAGTAGTTGACACGTTTTTGTCTCTGTAAGTTTTTAATATTTTCCAGCGATAATATGCACGGTAAGAATGCAAATTTACTATATTATTTAAATTGCGTGTGTTGATAGACAATTTCTTTCAAAATTCAAACTATGCAGCGTCCTACTACTTCAAATCATACGACGATAATTTATGTTTTAGGTTATGTCTGCATGTGTTTTGATTCACGAATGATACGTGTGTTACTATATGTGTTACGTAACATTCGTGATCGATTGTTAAGAGTAGTATACACTACAGAATCTAAAATTAAAATGCTTTACAAATTGTCTTTATTGTGAAAAATAAGTGATTTTTAGTATTTTTCTTAAAAATTCAAAAAGGCCAAATACGGGAAATAATTCTGGTTTAATCCAATCATTGAATAGTGTTTATTTATTTAGTTGTAGTTAAGTTGTAGTGTAAAAGAACGTAAAGAAGTTTTGAACAACACACTTAAAGTACCAGATTGATGTATGCGGTGTACTAATTGTTGATTTTCTAACTAAGTGCCAAAAATCGGCTTATATACAAGTTATTATTTCTATTATAAACACGGAAACATAGGAAAATCACTCAGGCGAAGCCGCGGTTATAATTACATGTTATGCAATTTCATTGTTTTCATAAATAAAGACATAATATTTATACATGATCGACAACAGACGCTAAATATTACAGGAGTTAGTCCCCAGTATTTAAAAAAAAATATTTTCTATTTAATAGATGGCACTAACTGCGGCGGAAAAACAGAAGCGGTACCGAGAGCGGATGCGAGCAAACAACCCCGAAAAGTTTGAAGAAGCTAAACATAAAAATGCTGCGCGAAATAAAGAAAGAAAAAAAATTAGCGAATGTACGGAAACTGAAAAAAAAACCTAAGGCGAACTAGAAAAAAAGACAAAAAAATACACTAAAACAAAATGTTGCAGAAAATATGAAAAATGATCAAACAGACAATAAAGCACGATTAGCAGAAAGGAAAAAGTATCAAAGACATTTGGCTACAGTCAAAAATAACTATGAGAGAAAAATTAGCAATATGTCAAAAAATATTGCAGCATTTAAAAAGAAATGTTCCCGTGTAATTAAAAAGCAACGATCATTAATTGCACGTTTTGAAGAACTGACAGCAAAAAATGCAGAATTGCAAATAGATAATGTACCTACAAATACATTCCAAAACGAAAATGAAATGACACCTCTTTCTAAAACCGAAAGCTTTATAGAACAAAACATGCCCACCATAACCACACCAGAAAAACAAACAGTAAAGAAACAGCTTTTGAATTATAACGTTTTAACTACTGCTCTACAGAAAATGCAAAAAATAATCAAGAACGCAATGTTTAAAGGCGTAGTTGAGAATGATATAGTGAAGAAGTACAAGGCTAAGAGCATAACTACAACTGTATTAGGATTGAAAGGAAGAGCTCGTCGCAGAAAAATCCTTATGAGGAAGAGCAAAATACTTATTGATGGAATTAAACACTTCTATGAAAGAGACGATGTTAGTCGCGCAACGGCTGGAAAAAATGAAGTTAAGACTTTAAAGAAAAACAAGCAACAGCGACGCTATTTGTTGAATAGTCTGAAGGCACTTTACAAAAAGTATAGGTTGGCAGGTGGCAAAGCAAAGTATACTTCATTTAAGAAGTACCGGCATTTCTATGTTTTGCGCCCTAAACTCTCAAACAGAGAAACGTGCGGATGCATAAAACACGAAAACATCATGTTAAAAATTGACTAATTAAAATTTTTGGGAATGATGATACCAAGGATCTAGACGCAATCTTGAGTAATATACAATGCGACTTGAATTCGAAAGAATGTGCATATGGAGAATGCTCTGATTGCGAAAATAAGTTATTTATTTCTGTTAACTGGGAGAATCATAGCCGAAGTGAAATTGTCACTTATGAAGAGTTTAAACTAGATAAAGTCGAGTATTTTAATAAAAAGGATAACAAAATAGCAATTACAAATAAGATGGAAAAGAAAAAGACAAGTGAATCATTGGAAACATTAGTAGAGAAGTTTAACGAAGATCTTATTATCATCAAAAAACATATTTATAACATGAAACACCAATATCACCAATACTCATCATGTATCAAAAATTTAAAAAACAACGAAGTAGCTGTACATATAGACTTCAGCGAAAATTATACTTGCAAGTTAGCAAGGGAAGTTCAAAGTATGCACTATGCAGGATCAAAACCACAGATAACCATTCATACTGGTGTCTTGTACACAAATAAAAAAGAACCACAAGCATTTGCTTCCCTATCTCCCGACAATGTAGTCCTGAGGCGATCTGGGCTCATATGGAACCTATTCTTAAATTTATTAGAACAAATTTTCCGGCCGTAACTGCTGTGCACTTTTTTTCGGACGGGCCCACGAGCCAGTATAAACAAAATTTTCAAAAAACCAGGATTGATGGGTTTTCCAAAATCTACGTGGAACTTCAGCGAAGCCTCCCATGGCAAGGGGGCCGCGGATGGAGTGGGTGGCGCGATCAAACGTAGACTTGATGATTTTGTATCACAGGGCACAGATGTACCAAACGCTGAAACAGCATTTCAACTTCTCCAAGAATCAGATACTTCGATAATGACCTTTTTTATTTCAGAGACAGATATTGCCAAGTACTCAATACCAGATACTCTGACGCCAGTCCCTCATACCATGGCTCTACATCAAATTGCTAACACGGAGGCAGCGAATGTCATTAAATACAGATGTTTGAGCTGTTTCTGTGATGATATGCTGTCCTTCAAAGGTTATTGTGAATGTTTGGATGTTAAGACCCACCTATTAGTTCAAAATAAAGATGTCGAAAAAGAAAATGAGAACAAAAATAACCCAGATCAGAAAAATAAAGCAAAAAGAGTTATTAAGCGAACAAAAAAAATGACAGATTTAAGTGAAATGAGTGACTCGGAGGAGGAACAGAAAGAATACAGAAATAAGAAAAAGAAGATTTGTAAAGATGTTGAAAGAAAAAATGAAACCGAAAATAACCCAGATCGGAAATATAAAGTAAAACGAGTTATTGAGCGAAAAAGAAAAGTGACAAAATCAAGCGAAATGACTGACTCGGAGGAAGAACAGAAAGAAAAAAGAAATGAGGAAAAGAAGATTTGTAAAAATGGTGGAAACAAGAATGAGAAAAAAATAACAATATTATCGGATGTGAAGGGTAGACCAGAAAATCGTGCATTTTGTGTTACCACTATTGGAAGTGGTCCACTGAATCTCAAAAGAATTGAAAAGCCTGATATACTAAACATTGAAAATAAAGTAAATATAAATACGGACTATCAGACCCCATCCACGTCAGGAATATGTAGAAGACCAAATATTGCACAAAAAACTATAAGTCGTAATAGGAACAAACCAATTATTGATTCTAATGCAAGCAGTACAGAAAATGAAGATGAATTTTCATTACATCATACCTCAGATGACGAGCCACTTCTACCCGACACTTTTTTAAAAGAAGAAGAAAAGATTAGTGAAAAGTAAAAATATGTGGAATTAAAGACAGTGACAAGCAATGTTGACAGCGCACATGAAAATGTAGAAAATTCTGGAAATTATAATAAAGTACATATTGAAAATATTGAAATAGTAATAAATACTGACAAAGACCTTGACCTTCCAGATACCAACGCAGAAAAACATGTGATTGTAGATTGTATTGTATCGAATGAGGAGTGGAAACCGCTAGATGATAGCGTAATAGTTCTCAGTGGTGACTGTGGTTCAGTATATACAGAAGAAAAGAACAATGAAAACAAAAAAAGCAGTGGCGATGGCGCAAGTGAAACAGTTGAGGATAAAACAGAAAATCACGAAATAGTACAACTTGAAAAGACTGAAATAGTTGACAATAAAACCGAAAATCACGACATAGTACAACTTGAAAAGACTGAAATAGTTGACAATAAAACAGAAAATCACGACATAGTAGAACTTGAAAAGACTGAAATAATCACAAACACTGTCAAAGACTGTGAACTCCCAAATACTACAAAAGAAAAACGTTTTAACGTAAGTGATAGCGTATTAGTAAGGTATTACCAAAAAAAGTCTTGGAAATATTACGTAGGGTTCATAGAAAGTGTAGAAGTTGATGAAACTACAAGTTACTCCATACATTTTTTAAAAACAATTTATAAACCAACGTTACAATTTGCACCTACAAAAAGAGATCGTGATGTTGTTCCCGAAACAAGTGTGGTAAAAAAAAATGAATTACAGTTACATGGAAAATCGTATTTGTTAAAAGATTTAAGCAATGATAAAACTTTTTTTGACTGAATGTTAGGTTTAGGGAATACATTACATTTCGCAGGCCTATTATTATGCCTTGCATTTTTTTTTTTAAATAAATATTGTTAAATAATTCCTAATGATCTCGAGTTAAAGAAAGATAAATAAAAATATAAATAAGATAAGTAATAGATAGATTTGTGAGACTGATAATTAACAAAAAAAACTATTTATTTGTTAAGAGTTGAACTTGTGTCTGATTATTAAATAAGTTAATATTATTGTTTTTGTTCAATATATATATATATATGTAGTTTGATTTGTTTTGTTTGTTGTTTATTTGTCTGATTATTAATATGTGAGTCACGATTTATGAAAGCTATATATATATATTGAACAAAACCAATAATACTAACTTATTTAATAATCAGACACAAGTTCAACTCTTAACAAATAAATAGATTTTTTTTAATTATCAGTGTCACAAATCTATCTATTATTTATCTTATATATATATATATATATATATATATATATATAAATAAACAGGGTGAAATTGAATGTTTCTATGAAACTTCGTGAGATTGTTGGGTTACGTGTATAGAGTATGCCTGATTTTTTTCGGATTTTTTAAAATAAAATTTTTCGTTTTTTAATTTTTTATTTGGTTATTTTTTTGTCATTTCTTCCTTATGAGTAATTATTCATTTTAAACACGTCTACATAGAAGTTATAAAGCAACTTAAAATAAGCACTACTAAAAAAACGGAAACTTAATGAATGCCTTCATTATGCCTCCAGTCGAGATCAGCGCCGGTCGGGGCGACGACCGACGGCCGCCTGTGTAGGTACCTACTACACGCACAGATGACTCGGCGCTTACCTACTCTCCGCTTTGATCCACACTATTTAAAAACATTACAATAAAATAGTTTTAGATGCTATATTATAATTATTTATTCACTGATACACAATACCTTTGAATATTATTTCATAAAGCACAGGTAATTAATCAATAAAATAAATCTTCTGTTAGGGCAATTAAAAATCCTATAAAGTTAATATGACTGTCACGATTTTAAATCGGTAAAGCTTGTCTGTTAGTGTAAGAACTTCTTTTTTATTGTTAATGTTAGTTGCCTCGTTTAGTTAAAACTTAAGCACAAACGGCTTATTTAAAATTGGGAAAACATACAGAGCAAATCGGTATAACTTACGAGCTTAGTGTAGGAAGGAACTCTTCGTGTCTGATTTGCCCACGTCATGAAATTCCCAACACATTTAATCACAGCCACAGTCACACACAAACACATAATAATATGTTGTTTTGCGGCAAGCACGGGCGGGCGGCGCGCCACACGCTGGCAACTAGCGCCGGTTGCGGCGTCTTTGATGATGTGAATTCCGCCCACCACCCCTCTTCCCCGCACGCGGTGGTTTGCTTTGATTGCTTGTAAAACGCAGTCGCAAGTATATCAATAGCGTGTGGGCGTGCGCATCTTTTGACTTAGTGACATACACTGTGATAATTTCATTATGCCTCGGTATACGAACCAAGAATATTTAGAGATGGTGTACTGCTATCGCGAGTGTGACGAAGTAGGTTTGGTTTACGAATCAGTCCCCAAACCATAGAAGTTGCATTTAGTGCAGTGAGTAGTGATAGGGACACTTTAAAAAAGGTGAAAAGACACGTCCGCAAACATGCCTACCTTTGTTTGCAGCAAAATGGTGGTTTAGAGCAACAATTTTGCAGATAATAATTCAAGTCTCTTTTAATTGCTAGTGTAAATACTTTTTGATTAGAAACAACTAATTGTGTACTACCAGTGTGATTGATTTGATAAAAAGTTCTAGTGAAAAAAATGAATATGTTCCTCGTTCCTCGTTGTACCTACCTACATCGCCGGTCTCGTAAGTACTTTTGAATACCTGGTTATAAATTTCATTCTGACCCAAGTATTGAACTGCAATAAGTATTTCTTTTTGTTTAACATTTGCCTATTTCCAATCGTGACAAAATTATTATTAACTTTTAAAGTTTTTCTCTGCATAAGAGAAGATGACATTTGTGCTTATTATTTCAATTTCAATAAAGGCATCTAAGACGATTTTATTATATTGTGTGGAATCAAACGAGTCAACTGAGCTCTGTGTAGAGGTAGGTACCTACTCACTCAACGGCTGGCGGGCGCGGTCGGTCGTTGACCCGCGGTGGAATTTTAATGTTTTTCCGTTTTTTAGAAGTGCTTATTTATTAGTTGTTTTTCACTGGATATGTAAGTTTGTTTGTTTAAAATGAATAACTACTCAAAAGGAGGAAAGGACATAAAAATACACAAATTATAAATAAATACATAAAAAAAAATTTACTTCAAAAAAATCCGAAAAAAACAGGCATACTCTATACACATAACCCAACAATCTTACGAAGTTTCATAGAAACATTCAATTTCACCCTATATATATATATATATATATATATATATATATATATATATATATATGTAGTTTGATTTGTTTTGTTTGTAGTTTATATGTGTTTAATATGTGAGTCACGATTTATGAAAGCTATAATTTTAGAAGGTAGGATGACTGATTGTGACTACTTACCTATTTTTTTTTGGTCATGAAAAACATTCTTAAATAAACACTTCATTACGATATCATTTTGTTTTATTACATTTTCAATTCAATAGCTGGACAATTCTTTTATTACAATACAATAAAAAATCAGCTAAAAATTTAAGGAATTTTCTTACACAATGTATACTAAGCTTAAGAAATTTCACGAGTGTTACCTTCTTCACGTATGTTACCGTGTGTTACAAATTCACGACTGTTACTGTACAATTTTTGGCGGCCATACTCTATTCCACGCAGTCTTAGTCTCAGGGCACCCAATAATATTATTATAAATGCGAAAGTATGTCTGTCTGTTACCTCTTCAAGCTTAAACCACCGAACCGATTTAGATGAAATTTGATATAGAGATAGTTGCGAGTCCCGGGAAGGGACATATGATAGCTTTTATCCTAGAAATCATCCTTTAAAAGGGTATAAAGTTGAATTTTGTGTGGTAAACCAGTTTTTCCTCGCTAACGATAATAACAGAAGTGGTATAGGCTAACAATCTGATGTCCTTGCGGTGCTCGGCGAATCTACCATTTTATACCACTGAATATTGATGTGCGTGCCCTTCGAGAGGCCACTGTGAAAAACAAAGGTTTCGAATACATAAAGATTTAGCAGGACCTTTCAAAAATTGTAGCCGGAAGGATAAATTTGTAGCTGTTGTAAGTCGAACACGAATGTGGGCTCTCAGATGAAACGCCTCCTTACCCATATTACTGTATCTGACCAATTTAAATAATTTTTATGAATGGTATTTTTTTTGACTACGTACAAAACTTTTAGCTCTGTTGAGTGTATACGAAATCTACATTTTCCACGGCAGCCTCGCGAAGGGCACGCATATGAATGTTGGAGCAATGGAGCGACTTAATATCAAAATTGTAACGTGACTACTCGTGGTAAAGGAGATTACTCAAATTGGCCCAAATGCACAAAAAATATTGACATACACGGTAATTCTTGGCGTAATTTATAATTTAATTTACAGGCATTAGATTTCAACGGACACCTTTGTATAATATATTTACTTTAAAAAGGACTTTTAATTTTACCGGTTTGGAAAACATACGAATCATTTTTAATGGTTATGGGTGTAGTAACATTCAGCCAAAGACTGATCGAAGTTGTTTATATAACATAAAAACAAATCTATTTTGTAAAGATCCATAAAATAAATCCTTTTTTTATTACACTGTGGTATTAATATCCACAACTATATTATCATTTTCACTACATGCAAATGTGCTCAGACAATTATTATAGATGGTAGGCGACATCATAAAGGCTATTGCCATACATTTTTCGTTAAACACCTCCATAAACACATTATAATCTGTATATATGTTAGACTTTAAGGTATCTCTCTATGGGCCTACGTTGCCTGACTATAAATTAATAAATAAATAAAATTATAAGGTGTGATACACTAAAAATCTAAAATATGGTTAATGTTTTTTTTTCATTTATTTTGGCAACAAACAGTCATTTACATAATATTGAAGTACATGCATATATGTTAATATTAATAGACCAAACAGTGCCCAAAGTTTATTACATTTATAGCAGCATTAGGTTATCTTAAAAACATAACAAAAATAATGAAGCTACTGGATATACGGCTATAGAGCCTAAATCTCTTAGCTTTCTTTGGTTAACGAGAGTTTAAAAAATCTCTCTAATCTGTGGCTCATTCACAATCATCACACAGTTTTTGTCACAGAGTACCTTATTATAACCGGAAATGCATAGATGACACCTGATTTTAAAATTACTCTTATGCAATAACTTTAAAAACAGGCAACTATCTGTTAATCTACATGCTCTATATACCTGAATCTAATCCATAATTTCGTTATTTGTTTTTTATTATTTTAATATGTTCAGTGTATATGGTTTATAGAAGTTCTCAGGGGTGTCCGTTAATAATATTCGTTTCTACAGTAAATTATAGATAATTACGAATCTAGGAAACAATTTTTCATGAATATTGGTCTTTAGGCCAAACATGTATGGAAGCTGAGCAATCTCCTTTTAACTTTTGTTTTGAAACTTGTTTATAACAAATCTAGGCACACTATTAAGTGCCAATTTCTCACCTATATCTTCCTATGAAATTATCAGCCAAAATAGCACCTACTAGTGGCATCGTGTAGCACATCATGATAAAAATATGATAAACCACGGTAGCCGCGTTTTCATGGAGATACAGCACATTTCTTAGGTACAACGACAATATAGCTAAAAGAGAGGAATATCATAAATAGACAGCACTCAGTAGAACAGGTAACTTAATACTACCTCAATCTTAGTAACCCTGCAAACTTTCAGGAGTTGACAGGACCTGCTCATCTAGTTACGTACCTACACTAAATCAACTCCTGAAAGATCACTGAATAATGCAATAGGCCCTATAGACAGTGGCGTGGCGGAGTGGGGGCAGGGGCGGCACTTCTTAGGGGGCGGCAAAATTTTGAAATAAATAATAAAAATATTTCAAACATTTAAATAAGGGGGCGGCAAAATTGTCCCCGGGCGGCCGACACCCACACGGTACACCGCTGCCTATAGACCATGCGAGAAGTCTTCTTGCCAAGACTTGACGCGAGAAACGAAGGTATCTACACTCACGCGACCTTCTAACTTGTCAATCGTTATGTGAAATGGACGTCTTTAAAAGTACAGTGACTTTGGTATTGTGTGCATAAGCTTACTATAATCTCGTTAATGATAAAATAAATTAAATAATAAAAAAAACGAGCATCACATGCGATAGAAGTAAAACGTCCAAAAATGTGAACACAGAAGTTTTTTTTATGTCTACGTCATATGAGAACCCTCTAATGATTGACACAAATAAAAATCAGCTCCTAGTTCCCAGCAGCCCTGCATGTCTACAGTAGCAGCTTTGGTAACAGCAGGGTAGGGGGTGTGAAGAATCCCCGGGTAAGATCGAGCTACCATGAAAGACGACTGTACTTGTACACCTGCATGAGTAGGTACAGTTACAAAATAAACAAAAATACTCCTAAACACTGAAATTGGATTGAAATTATAAATGCGAAACAGAGCGAGACAGACAGAGCTAGATAGCTCTGTCTGTCACCTAAATCCAAAATTCTTAATCTGCAGCCGCAGGCCCAGACTAAGTACCTGCATAATTATTTTTTGGTATGGATTTAAAAGGGTAAAAAGTATTTCTTTATGAAGTAATAGGTACTTACTCCTCAAGCCGCAAAAGGAAAATCTTTCACAAAACTCAGTTGCAATTATACAAAATATTGAAGTCGGATGACTGTGGAACATCTGTAAATAAGTATTATTTATTATTCTTCAATTAAACTAGGTTTCCTATATTTTAATGATCATGTCACAAAAAACACTTGATTAAAACGGTATTCTAATTTAGTGATTAGGTACTTTCTTTTTCTTTGCACTTGATACAGAAAGGAGGAATTTGGTTAAATTCCTTTCCAGGAATTTAGTAGTATTGTGACCACAGACAGATGTCAATAACTAGTCAAGATTGTGACATTCATTATGTATTCTTTACTTCAGCCTTCCATTACTAGACTTCAAAATTCAAATTTCTTTTTGGTGTTCTGAAATCCGAAATCTTTACGAAATCCTTACTAGTTCCATGAAATAAAAGCTTTATCTGGCTTTAACAAAGAGTTTACCGCTCTATTCAGAGCTGCACTGTGGGTAGCAAATATCTTTTAGAAAACAAGAAAATCCTCCGTAGTCGTCGAAAACACGTTTATTATTATGGAAAGGCCATATTGCAATCGTTAGTAGGAAAGTAAAACAGATTAACAACATAATTTTTATTTTTTAAGCATTTAACTGCTATATGTTTAAATGTAAAGAAAAGTTTACTAGAAAAAAATCGGACAACAGACGGAACTCGAACCCGCACCTTTCGCTATCCGGGCGAATGCACTGACCATTATGCTGACGGCCCTGACGGCCGTGTCGAATTTTCTCTAGCCTTAGGCTGCAAGGCAGCGCCATATCTTCGCATTGTAGGTAACCCACAAGGTTCCAAATGTTTAATACTTGTAAAGGTATTTTCATTTGACATTGTGGGTTACCTACAATGCGAAGAGATGGCGCTGCCTTGCAGCCAATGTGATACAGGGTGACAAAATCAACCCTTGCTGAGTTTCTTGTCGGTTCTTCTCAGTACAAGGTCTCCCATCGTAGATTTGCGAACCGATAGCGTAGCTTTTCGACATTCACAATGCTTGTAACAGCCTAGACTGAATAAACGATATTGAGTTTTGAAGGAATTCAATATACAAATTACTAATAATCAATATACAAATATAATAATTATTAAAAACCCCGCAGGACTAGATTGCGAACATCATACATAACAACATTTGTTCTACGAGTTCTAACATACTCAAAATCTTTGATATACCTACTGTTCGTGACATTTATACGTCTATGCTTCCTTCATAATCAAAAGGGCATCGCTCGCGCGCTTCCAGTAATTAACATTAATATTATATTTCTTTACCAGCTACTTAATTTCCATAGTATATTGCTCACGTAGCTTGTATGCACTAGGTACACTGAATCGACAATCACTTCATTATTTACTAACTACATTAAATAATTGAAAATAAACACTTAGGTAGGTATATTATCTTCCAAAATATGTAAAAACGATTTATGTAATCATTCTTTATCGTTTCCTAAAGTTACTTACACCGAGTTTTTTGTCCAATATTGGTACCTATTATTTTGTTTTCGTTTTTAAGGCTGGGGATACACATGCCAGTAAATCGGGAAAGTAGCTGGCATGCAAGTTACTAGTAGGTACGAGTAACTGGCACACTGCATATACATTTGCAAGTAAAACTGGCATGCAAGTAAAACTGGCATGCAAGTTGTGCCCTTGCATGCCAGTATTACCATCGCGTATACACAGGACATTTCGTGAGAGTCACTCGTACCTACCTATTCTTGCGCGCCGAATATGGATAACAATCGAAGTGAATTAAACAAAATCGTGTTGTTACTAGCATTTAATTCAGATTTAATTCTTCTTGTATTTTGCTGTAGGCATTGGCACGTGCTATTTTGTATTTGTAAAGCGAGCTAGTCGGCTTCTAAAGACATTCGTATTCTCTGTACAAATGAATGAACTGTATAGTTTTCTCATCTCCCCATCGTCCCATGTTGAATACAAAAACCAAAAAAAAACTTGAAAAAACTTGACCTCCCGAAATCAAAACAAAAAACCTGCGCCTACAGCCACAACGAGTCGGCTACTGACATGCCCGTAGTTGTCGCGTCTGTTCACACATGCCAGGTTAGCAACCCCCCGCGTCCCCTCCCTCAACGGGCATGCAAGTAAATCATGTGCTAGCTGCATGCATGCCAGTATTACAGGCATACCAGTTATCGTATACACATGACAGTAGATGGCACGTGCAAGAAGCTGGTATGCTAGTGTGCAAGCTACGAGCATGTGTATCCCTAGCTTTAATTAATGCAGGCGTAAGATTTTTGCACACACGGAAGTGTGACTTACGCTCATCAACCCTGTACTTACCTCCCTACTTAGTCGATCGACAACGACTGAATATTTCTGCACGATCCTCAGTAACGAAGAAAACGACTCGAAGAGAGACAGTTGTTATGCATCACGAATTGTTTTTTTGAGGAACCTAACATTTTCAGCGAAAAAATATATTATCATAATATATCATTGCGATATTTAGGGTGGATTTTTACCCCAGTAAGTATGTGTACCAAACTTTATCAAAATCCGTTCAGCCGTTTAACTTTCCCACTTTATTATTTAGTTAGAAAGGAGATTGCTCAGCTTCCATACATGTTTGGCCTAAAGACCAATAATCATGAAAAATTGTTTCCTAGATTCGAAATTATATATAAATTACTGTAGAAACGAATATTATTGACGGACACCCCTGAGAACTTCTATAAACCATATACACTGAACATATTAAAATAATAAAAAACAAATAAGTTATATAGTATACTAGGGAAATCAAGCCGAGTACCGAAATTATGGATTATATTCAGGTATATAGAGCATGTAGATTAACATGCATGAAAATTAGAGGATTATGGTCAGGGAACGTAGGCCCTGAGCCGGATTTAGGATTGTGGAGGCCCCGGGCCACTTAGGATTTGTATGCTTGTTAATCCATCGAATTTTTGTTATCTTATATCTTGTTTTGGAGGCTCCGGGCCACTTAGGATTTGCATATTTGTTGACCCATCGCAATTTTGTTATTTCTTAAGCTGTTGTGGAGGCCCCTGGGCCTCAGCCCCACCTGCCCTGCCTTTAATTCGGCCCTGAGATTAATATAATTAAATAATCATGTATGTTAGATGTACAAAGTACTGTAGGCTGTAGGTAAAGGTAAAAGAGCAAAAAAATATCAAAGGAAAAGATGTTTACTACTGTTTAGTAGTTCGAATTTGAAAGATTTTTTTTCCGAAGTCTCTATTGAGGGGGCCCCTCGTTTGTGGAGGCCCCGGGGCTTTCGCCCCGGTTGCCCTCCCCTAAATCCGGCAGTCCCATAGATAGATACCTTAAAGTCTAACATATATACAGATTATAATGTGTTTATGGAGGTGTTTGGCGAAAAATGTATGGCAATAGACTTTATGATGTCGCCTACCATCTATAATAATTGTCTGAGCGCATTTGCATCTAGTAAAAATAATAATATAGTTGTGGATATTAATACCACAGTGTAATAAAAAAAATGATTTATTTATGTTATATAAACAACTTCGATCAGTCTTTGGCTGAATGTTACTACACCCATAGCCATTAAAAATGATTCGTATGTTTTCCAAAACGATAAAATTAAAAGTCCTTTTTAAAGTAAATATATTATACAAAGGTGTCCGTTGAAATCTAATGACTGTAAATTAAAATATAAATTACGCCAACAACTACCGTGTATGTCAATATTTTTTGTGCATTTGGGCCAATTTGAGCAATCTCCTTTAAGAGAGTTAGGGCATAGCGGATTTTCCGCTCGCATTGGAAGCGCCAGTCTGAGGAAGTAACCTTCACCTTACCACAGTATGATAAGTAATACACTAACTAATACAATAAGTAACACTACCTTTTGATGGTGTTATCGGGGAGTAAGGTTCAATGGCTCCACGGGGTAGGGGATTGGGTCAGGGAAGGTAACCGCCAGTGGTGCTCACCGTTACCCCTGAGACAGGTGAAAAAGGTGCGACGTATGCCACGGTAATTTCAAAGGCCAAGAAGGAGATCAACATCACGGAGCTTGGATTCCAGGGGATGACGGTGAAGACAACTGCCACGGGGGCACGCCTGTTTGAGATCCCTGGGGAAGATAGGATAGAGAAAGCGGATAAGCTAGCCAAAAAGCTCAAGGAAGTGCTGGAAGGGTTGGCGACGGTTGCGAGGCCTACTAGATGTGTAGACAACAACATCTCCGGACTTGACGACTCAGTCGAGATACAGGAAGTCAAGGATGCCATCGCGCCGAAAGGAAGCTGCAGCGCCGAGCAGGTGAAGGTTGGGGCGATCCGAACCGGACCTGGAGGAATGGGGGTGGTACTGGCAAAATGTCCAGTGGCAGCAGCTAAAGTAGTAGTGGAGGCCGGGAAATTGAAGGTGGGGTGGTGTGTGGCCCGGGTCAGAGCTCTCGACCCCCTTCCCATGCGCTGTTTCAGGTGTATGGGAATCGGGCACACACGGCAGTTATGCCCGTCTACGGTGGACAGAAGCGGGACCTGCTTCAGATGTGGGGAGAGAGGTCACAAAGCGGCCACTTGCGCAGCAGAGCCAAAATGCATCGTATGTGCTGAGGCGAACCTACCGGCAGGACACTTAATGAGTGGAAGAAAGTGTGCACCTCCCGCCACGAAAAGGCGAAATCGACAAAATCGAAAAGACAGGAAGTGCCAGCGAGGGATACAGGAGCGGAGGAGGCCCAAATAAGTCTTAATGACCAGACACCACCTCAACTTCCTTCAATGTAATCTCAATCACTCCGCCCGGGCGCAGGACCTGGTCATGCAGTCGGCGGCGGAGTAGGGTATAGATGTGGTTGTAGCTGCAGAACCATACTCGGTACCACCCAACAACAAATGGGCAGGAGACATGGAAGGTTCGGTCGCAATAATGGCAACATTACAAGATGCGTACTCTTTGCGTTGTAGAAAGGGGATCAGGATATGTGGCGGTGACTGTGGGAGAACTGGCCATAATAGGGGTCTATTTCTCTCCTAATAGGGGTGTGGCTCAGCTGCAGGCGTGGCTGGATGTGCTGGGAGGTGCAGTCAGGCGTATGGCTCCACGTCAGGTGGTGGTGCTTGGGGACTTCAACGCGAAGCACCCAGCGTGGGGGTCCCCACGCACGACACCAAGAGGAGACTCAGTCTGGGAATGGTCAGTCACATCGGAGCTGATACTGCAGAACAGGGGCACACACCACACATGCGTTAGGATGAACGGAGGTTCAATTGTAGACCAACATTCGCTC